CTTTTTTTTTTTTTTGCTTATTCCTAGTACACGTGGTACAGGCCATGATAATCATGGTGGGTAGTTAGCGACTGCTTTTACTGTAAGCGCGCCACATGTCTACACATGTGAAAAGCAGTTCGACTTTGCACTTACAAATGTGCCAGAGCCCTGTTTGGTTACTTGCACTCGCTGGTGGGGTTGGACTTTTGCAAGAATCGGGGGCCATTGGAGCATTTTTTTTTTTTTTTAACAGAAAAAAAGTGTCCAATGCGGGAATCGAACCTGGGTCGTAGTGGTCGAAAACCAAACAGTTTAACCAGCCTTCCACCAACCACCTAAAAATGAGACTTAATTTAAATAAATTAATAGTGTGAGACGTTTCAGCTTTGTTGCCATCATCGAACAAAAGAATAAATGAGAAAAAATATCACAGCATATTCTTAACTATTTTTTCTTATCTGCTATCTTGTTTACACACTTGATAACAGTACTATTTAAGAACATGCTGTGATATTTTTTCTCATGTATTCTTTTGACTGATGATGGTAACAATGCTGTTGCCGAAACGTAACACACAATTTATTTGGATTAGGTCTTATTTTCTTATATCAACAACAACAACAACAAAAAGCTTTTATTTAGGGTCACTGACCCTATACAGGATTCACCAGAGGTATGCATAAGAACAAAGCAGTGAGACAAAGGAAACAACATATAGACAGAAGAAAAAGAAAAAAAATAAGAAAGAGAAAGAGGGAAGCAAGAAAAACAACACAAAAAGAGTAGCAGTAAGAAAGTGAGGAGTGAGTGTCACTTGGCCTTCTTCTGAGATATGGACTTGTGGAAACCATAAAACGCCGTAGCAATATACTTATTCTGGGTCATATTGTCAATTATTGATGGAAGTGAAGCACAGAGTTGCCCAGTTTTGAACATAAGGGTTCTTCTTTCAGAGCAGAGCAATCAAAAATATAGTGAGTGATTTCATTTTTTAGTTTTGAATTACAGAAGGTACAAATCGGGTCCTCACCGCAGAGCATCTTGGTGTGGTTTTCTCTAAAAAAACTTGAAAGTATTCTAACTTGTGTGAGTAGTCTTACAACCGGGTTATTTTCTTATATCTATAATCCAGGATTAAGTATATTTTACTACTATAAATCCCTCTCTGTCCACTTTGATCTTGTAACACCATAGAGAAGTAGATGATCATGGAAGGTAGGAGGAGACACTCCTCCTACTTTAATTCAACACCACAAGGGATCAGAGTTTTCTGTCGATTTAAAGTTGGTGTTGGTTAAGATGATTATTTACAAAGAGAAAATAGATTTTGGGTAAAAAAAGTTTCTTTTAATTTAGGTTTTTCAAACTTTCGAGCAAATTTTCTTCTCTTAAACAGGTTTAATTTAGGTTTTTCAAACTTTCGAGCAAATTTTCTTCTCTTCAACAGGTTTAATTTAGGTTTTTCAAACATTCGAGCAAATTTTCTTCTCTTCAACAGGTTTAATTTAGGTTTTTCAAACTTTCGAGCAAATTTTCTTCTCTTCAACAGGTTTAATTTAGGTTTTCAAACTTTCGAGCAAATTTTCTTCTCTTCAACAGGTTTAATTTAGGTTTTTCAAACTTTCGAGCAAATTTTCTTCTCTTCAACAGGTTTAATTTAGGTTTTTCAAACTTTCGAGCAAATTTTCTTCTCTTCAACAGGTTTAATTTAGGTTTTTCAAACATTCGAGCAAATTTTCTTCTCTTCAACAGGTTTAATTTAGGTTTTTCAAACTTTTGAGCAAATTTTCTTCTGTTCAACAGGTTTAATTTAGGTTTTTCAAACTTTCGAGCAAATTTTCTTCTCTTCAACAGGTTTAATTTAGGTTTTTCAAACTTTAGAGCAAATTTTCTTCTCTTCAACAGGTTTAATTTAGGTTTTTCAAACTTTCGAGCAAATTTTCTTCTCTTCAACAGGTTTAATTTAGGTTTTTCAAACTTTTGAGCAAATTTTCTTCTCTTCAACAGGTTTAATTTAGGTTTTTCAAACTTTCGAGCAAATTTTCTTCTCTTCAACAGGTTTAATTTAGGTTTTTCAAACTTTCGAGCAAGTTTTCTTCTTTTCAACAGGTTTAATTTAGGTTTTTCAAACTTTCGAGCAAATTTTCTTCTCTTCAACAGGTTTAATTTAGGGGTTTTTCAAAATTTCGAGCAAATTTTCTTCTCTTCAACAGGTTTAATTTAGGTTTTGCAAAGAAACTTTTTACCCAAATTCAATTTTTCCCTTTGTGCAAATAATTTCTGGCTAACTATTACTCACATTAGATGATTATCAATTCGCAGCCGGTGGACATTTTGTTGTCAACACTTAAATTGGGAGTTAAATTATGACTGTTAAAGTAAATATGCTAATTGGTATTTGAAAAGCAATTAAATTATAGTTGGTTCAATTAAAGATGGTAATTTGAAGGAAAATGTGGCTGGGATTTAAAAGATTGCTTGAATTAAAGTAAGTGTTGAATTAAAGATGGTAATTAGAAAGAGACTGTATTGACTCATCCATTGATAAGCTCTACTCATCCCCAGCAGACATCATCAAAAGTCTCAAGCTCTATAGGCTTGATACCCTGATATGATTGAGTGGAGATAAGAAAGAAGAAGATAAGAAATGGAAATGGTTAGGATTTAAAAGATTGGTAGAATTAAAGTAGGTGTTGAGTTATTGTACATATTTTTTATATGGTGAGTTGGCATGAAGAGAATGGTACATGTGGAAACAAATCAAGTTAAAAAAAAAAGGGGGATTCCAAAAAGTTAATTGCATGCTTTTGAAATATGGTCAGTTGAATATACAATGATATATTTTAAATAAGTTTTTTTTGTCTTTCTTCATTTTCCTAATTTATTCACTTTTTTCCACTGTGCACACGCAGTTAATCGCTTAGTTTGAAATTACACCTATCCCCCGATTTACACGGTACTTGTTTTTACACGTTTTCGCATTTACACGGTTTTCCAAATAAGTTTTTTTTTTTTATCGCACTATACTAAATGCTACTGTGATTGAACACATGCGCTGTGTACACATCTCACGAGGAATCCTGAGCTTATGTGCTGACTTGCTGCACACACACACTGTGTCTGTATTTCTAATTTTTTTTAATTTTAAATTTTCGATTTACACATTTTTCTCAGGAATGTATCTACTGTGTAAATCGGGGGATAGGTGTATATTTGTAAATTTTCTTATACAGTAGAACTTCCGTAAGAGGACACTCATGCTAGAGGATAGCTCTCTACAAAGGACAGCTTTCATTTGCAAAATTAACATTTTTACTATTTAGCAACTTTCTGGTAAGAGGACACCTCTCCCTAAAATACACTTTGGCTTTACAATTTTGTGTCCTTTACAAGGAAATTCTACTGTATTATAATATTTGTTTTTATGTGTATCCATAACATTTTGTCTCACCAAATTTAATCATGAGACACTCAAAATAAATGAAATAAAAAATGCATAATGATATCAATTCATACCACAAGGTAATAAGACCAAAGCCAAATAAATAGTGTGTGATGTTTCGATAACTCATTCAACATTCAGTAATTTTGTCTGAAAATGGTAACAATGCCTGTAAGCATAGCTGGTACATTGGAGTGGACCCAGGAGTAACTCTGAACTTCAAAAAGAGACAGCAACAAACAGCTCTAACAATATTTACAACAGGCCATCTCAAACCATTGAAGATAGAAAATAACAACAAATCTACCCCACTTGCCCAAAATGTAGCTCGGCACTTGCAGCTCCAGAACACATTTTGACTTGCATTAGATGTACTAAACAGGACCTTTGGGAGAGGCTGCTGCTTATCATAAAACAGCTCGAGGAGTATGGACTCATGGAATTTGTGTTATCTTTACACAAGGGGATAAGGAACAATAACAACGCCTGTTACCAAAACATTACACATTATTTATTTGGTCTTATTTTATTACCTTATAACCCAATTCCTTTTAATCCTAATCTATAATCCAAATTGTACCTAATCATGATATTAATCCATATTATCAATTCACAAATATGTCACAAGAGAGTTCTCTAAAAATATTATTTTAATTTGATTTAATATTTGGGTAGAAATTTCACTGGGATTGTTCTATGAAAAGAAAGGTCCCCTCTTCAGTCAAAACTGTCTATTGACTCTCTCTGCCAACTAGATACATTTGATGGGAGAAGTTGCTTTTCTCTTTATAGTGGTCAATTTCCTCCCAGAAAATTTTCCATCAATATTTGGGTACATTAGAACCTCCCTGTAAAGGACAACTAAATTGCAGAACCAAAGTGTCCTTTAGGGAGAGATGTCCTCTTACCGGAGAGTTGCAAAATAGTAAAAATGGTAATTTTGCAAATGAAAACTGTCCTTTGTAGAGAGGTGTCCTCTAGCGTGAGTGTCAGCTAAAGAAAGGTTCTACTGTATATTCAAGTGCTGTTTGTTTTAAATGCAATTGGTCCTATCTTGCTCTAGCCACACGGGAACACAAGGTAGGGTACACGTGAGTGAATTTATATAAACTAGTGTTTGTTTATTCATACATTGGTCTTGCTGAGTTTAGACAGCAGGTCTAAAGAGTGCCCAACACTCTGGAAAGATAAGCTGTGTAAATATATGGTGGAGTCCATTTTTGACAATTGTTGGCATGTTTGTTTGGATTTAGACAGGGGGTCTAGAAAGCAGGCCAAGATAGGTCTCAAAAGGGCCATAGGTCATTGCCTCTTAAATTGCTTACATTTTATTTATTTATTTTAATTTAAAGCGCTATATCACCCTAGGGACACTTGCGATGCCATACATGTATGACTCTACATTTGTCTATACATATTTACAATATTTTTAGGCTGTAAAGAATAGAGAATCATAGGATTAACAATGAGAAAGAAAGAAAATAAAAAATATCTACATCAAAATTTTGTAATTATCAATATTAAAATAAGAGAAGAGAAAATCATGTAAGAGCTTAAACATTCTAAGGACAAAAAATGCATTGGCCGGGAATCGAACCCGGGCCGCCCGAGTGGCAGGCGAGCATTCTACTACTGAACATCAGTGGTTCAGTAGTAGAATGCTCGCCTGCCACGCGGGGCGGCCCGGGTTCGATTCCCGGCCGATGCATTCTAAGGACAAATGAAGCTTCCAATTCTTAACAATAACAGAGAACTGTGCACAGAAGAAAGAAATGTCAGGCAATATCTACAATCAACATGATACATAAAATAAAATTACATTTTGATAGGAGCCAAGTTTAGGGTCTTGAGACAAGTACTTGAAGTAAAATAAAAAAAAAACACACATAAACCTTTATTAGGGATCAAGCCCCATACAGGATTCTCCCAGTATAGCAATGGTTTTAATTCAACATAAATCAAGTACTATATACAATTCAACATGAGCCCAAAAGGAAAACTATTTACACATGTTTCTCATCCTTCTCGCCTTCTCACTAAATTTATATACAGTAGATATACAGACTATACAGTGTCCTTTAAAGAGAGGTGTCCTCTTACTGGAGAGTTGCTAAATAGTAAAAATTATAATTTTGCAAATGAAAAATGTCCTTTGTAGAGAGGTGTCCTCTAGTGTGAGTGTCTGCTAAAGGGAGGTTCTACTGTATATTCAAGTGCTGTTTGTTTTAAATGCAATTGGTCCTAGCTGTATATAGTCTACTTTTCACCATTTCTGACAGCAGGGCATAGAGTGCACTCGTATTATTAAAAAGTAATTTAAAGTTCAATGTTGTGTCAGATGGGAGTCCTGAAGGACAAGCTGGAGAAGGAGCTGGCCCCCCAGACCCAGGTGATTGCCTGCAGGTTCCCTGTGCCCTCCTGGTCCCCCATAGACACCATAGGGACTGGCATCGACACCGTCTGGCTCTACAGGATACCAGAATCCTACCGACCTTAATAAAACTCATCCTCTATAGAACTCTGTTGTTGCCTGGCAGAATAAAACTGATGCTTATTTTGATTACAGTTAGCTCAAATTGTTGGTTTTCTGCCGCTAAGACCCAGGTTCGATTCCCGCATTGAACACTTTTTTCTGATTAAAAAAATGCCCCAATGGCCCCCGAATCTTGCAAAAGTCCTATCCCACCAGTGAATGCAAGTAACCAAACGGGGCTCTGGCACATTTGTAAATGCAAAAGTCGAACTACTTTTCACGTGTGTAGACATGACAGTAAAAGCAGTCGCCTATTTTTACCCACCATGGTTATCATGGCTTGTACCACGTGTACTAGGAATAAAAAATAAATAAACTTAGCTCAGCACTTTCCCAGAATGGATTCCTTAATTCTAAAAAAATATATTTAAATGCAATAGAATTTTGTTCCTTAAATTGTGGAACCTGGTGTTTGACAGTTAAAGCCTGTCTTAAACAGACCCTTATTGTATGCAGCTGAAAGTAACGGCGGTTTTACTCTGTATTGGATAGATTTTTAACAAGTAATCCATTATATATACTCACCGAACCCTACGTAATGTTCACACCCTACTTGATGGTAGACATTCAGGGAGATTTCCTATGTTGACTGTTCTGAACCTATGGTTCAATAGAAATCTACCAAGGACATTTCATTAGGATGTTTCAGTAGATTTACTGCAATGGTCAGCCCAGTTAGAAATATATATTTTTTAATTTAACCCAAGTACACCTGGTACTTGGTAGGTGGAAGGATGGTCTAAAACGTTTGTTTTCGACCGCTACGACCCGTGTTCGATTTCCGCATTGGGCACTTTTTTCTGATTTAAAAAAAAATGCTCCAATGGCCCCTAATTCTTGAAAAGTCCAACCCCACCAGAGAGTGCAAGTAACCAAACGGGGCTCTGGCACATTTGTAAGTGCAAAATTCGAACTGCTTTTCACATGTCCAGACATGTGGTGCACTTACAGTAAAAGCAGTCGCCTTCTTCTACCCACCATGATTATCATGTCCTGTACCACGTGTACTAGGTATAAGTAAAAAAAACATGTAGTACAGGCCATGATAATCATGGTGGGTAGTTAGCGACTGTTTTTGCTGTAAGTTTACCACATGTCTACACATGTGAAAAGCAGTTTTGCACTTACAAGTGTGCCAGAGCCCCGTTTGGTTACTCGCACTCACTGGTGGGGTTGTTGGACTTTTACAAGAATCGGGGGCTATTGGAACTTTTTTTTTTTTAGTTAGAAAAAAGTGCCCAATGTGGGATTCGATCCCGGGTCATAGCGGTCGTAAACCAACAGTTTAGACCACCATTCCACTGACCCCCCCTATCATGAAATAGCTAGATTTAGTCTTGCACATATCCCCTTACAATACTAATTATGCTGTTTTTGTGGATAAATTTTCCTCTTATAGGTGGTTTCCTAGGTTACTCCTTTAAAAAAACTTGCGAATACCAAAACTCTTCCAAACTCAGAATATTACTTTATTAAAGAGAGCAACAAATTGGACATGTCAGACCAATATAACCTCTCAGGGTGATTCAGCCTGACAATGAAAAAAACCTGAGTTTACAAGACTTAAAGGAAGTTGGTTCTACTGGAGAACTAAGTAGAGATATACCCCCCTCAATACACTACTTATATAAACAATTTACATTTCTCCAGAATTCTTTGCACCGAAGAGGAGAAAGACCTCTTTAAAAATCCTGAGTTCAACTGACCCGGTTGATGGACCTCAGCAAGGGTCCCTCTCCAGGGATATGGAGGAGCTGTGTCTGTACTCATGTTAGAGTCAGCAGCAAAGGCATCAGCTTCCATGTTAGGAACAGTCTCAAAATATAGGCCAAGTCAGATTTTCACTAAAGTGTGCCTGGATCATGGTGCCGTGATCAACAAAAGCTGCACCCCATTCCATAGCTCGAGGAGCATTGACTCATGGAATTTGTGTAATCATTACACAAGGGGATAAGAAACAACAACAACTCCTTGCACTGATGGAAATGAGCAAGAATCCAGAGAGTAATGGAAATAAGACTTGAAAAATGTGGGTAAGCAATAATGGAGCATTCCAAAGGTAAAACTTCTCATGAGAGACCTATAAAACATGGCTAATCCTGACGGTGGTCTCTCATTGGAGGTTATTCTATGTTAGGAAATTGTACAGCTTGGTGCAGAAAAATGCAAATTCTCTAAAGATGTTAAAACCATGCCAGACAACCTCCAAGTAATAACTCACTGAATTATATTTCCCCTAACAACTTGTTCTATAAATCTTTGTGTAGAAATTAACACAGAACTTCTATTACAAAATGAAAAGTGATTTATAGTGAGTGACACTCCCAGAGGTATCACCTGGTCCATCTACTATACTTGAGAGGGTTGGTGAAAGGGTGATCTAAATCGATGATTTTTAACCAATATGACCCGGGATCAACTTCCGCATTGGGCACTTTTTTTCAAATAAAAAAATAAATAAAATGCTTCAATGGCCCCCAATTCTTGGAAAATTCCAACCCCATCAGCAAGTGGAAGTAACCAAAATAGGGCTCTGGCACATTTGAAGTGCAAAAGTCTAACTACTTTTCAAATGTGTAGACTTGTGGTTCACTTATAGTAAAATCAGTCATTAACTTCTCACCATGATTATGGCCTGTACCATGTATACTAGGGATAATGTTGTTGTTTCTTATCCCCTTGTGCAAAGATTACATGAATTCCATGAGTTCATGCTTTCGAGCTGATCTAATGGAATGGGGTGTAGGGGTGAAGCTTTTTTTTATCATGGCACCAAGATCCAGGCACACTTTGGTGAAAGTCTGACTTTGCCTGTAATTTGAGGCCATTCCTAACATGGAAGCCTTTGCTGCCGACTCTAGAGTACAGACACAGCTCCTCCGTATCCCTGGAGAGGGACCCTTGCTGAAGTCTATCAACCGGGTCAGTTGAACTCAGGAGTTTTAAAGAGATCTTTCTCCTCTTTCTAACAATTGCTGTTGGTCTTTGACTGCTTATTTTTCAGTTATTCTGCTTGTTTCGCAGCTGGAGTTCATATCTGAAGGTCGTTCCCCTATCCACCTGGGGACTAGGAATGATAATAACTATACTATTGTTTCTGGAAGATAGTATGCATTCTTATGATTAAGTTATTTAAGAGGTTACTGGGGGAGACAGACTTCTGACACTGCTGATGATAAGGCATAATTTGGATTATTATATATATACAGTTGCGAGCGTCATGCGTTCTTCAACTCTTAATCATTTTTCATCTCTGTCACCGTTTGCTTTTTTTTTTGGAATGGCGCTCTCCTATTGGTTGGCTACGATCACGCCACCTTTGCCCCCCCACTCGCTATTTCGTCTTTGTAACTCTTGTGTTGGAGCGTGTCGCTCCCTAAATAAATGCATATATTAGTTAATAACCAAATGGAATCCTCTCTTTCTTTTTCCCAGTAAGAGACGCCTAAGGAAGCCAACAGTACATAGACAGATAAAGCACATAGGCTATAGTTATTAACTAACATATGCATTTATTTAAGGCGCCAATTTATAATTGTAACAAATAGTATTCGAATCAAAACATTCAATCGGGGAAAACACGGGCGTTGCCCGGGTCATTCGGCTAGTCTATCCTTATATATATAAAATTGAAATGCGAAATCGATGTTTGTTATCGCATCACGCAAAATCTACTGACTCAATCATTATGGAATTTCGCATGTAGGTAGCTGAAGATTTCGTTTAACATATAGGCTATTCAAAAAACTAAAAAAGTTAATGTGCTTTTTTTTTTTAATAAAAAACCAAAAAGCGTTAGTTCCAGTCTTTTACCGCTAGGGCGCAGCACTGGTCGCGACGATAAATGAATTTGATTTTTTTAAAGCATCGGTGGTTCAGTGGTAGAATGCTCGCCTGCCACGCGGGCGGCCAGGGTTCGATTCCCGGCCGATGCATTTTTTTTTTAACAATTTTTAAAACTCATTTATATTATATCTCTTCTCTATATATATAAAAGTCAATTCCTGTCTGTCTGTCTGTTTCGCGATAAACTCAAAAACTACTGAACCAATTGGTTCCAAATTTTGCATGTCGCTTTTTATAAACCTGAGGAAAATTTTTGGCTACATTTTG